GATGGTAAGCAAAGACCATGGCCTGTATCAGACGCACCGTAGTCTCCAGAGTGACACCATTACTCTCCAGTACTTTGGAGAAGTCCCTAACAGCAAACTTTCCCATCACAATATCTTTTCATTTCCTGGCTTCTGGTACCAAGAGTGTTGACTGTGGAGCCAAGCAGACTAAAGCTGTGAACAGTCTCAATCTCTTCACTATCCATCCTGATGCTGCCAGTTGGCCCAGTGGTGAGAATCTTTGTCTTCTTGACATTGAGCCTCAATCCGTATTGGAGGCTGCAGTCCTTGACCCTCTGCAGCAAGCGCTTCAGGTCCTCCTCAGTTTCAGCAAGCAGGGTTGTGTCATCTGCATAACACAGATTGTTGATAGATCTTCCACCAATCCTGACCCCACATTTCTCCTCATAGAGCCCAGCCTCCCGGATAATCTGTTCTGCATACAGGTTGAAAAGATATGGAGACAGGACATATCCCTGGCGTACACCCTTCCCAATTTTGAACCATGCAGTGTTTCCTTGCTCTGTTCTGACAACTGCCTCTTGAGCTTGTGATAATAGCAAAACTACTGTAATGATAGCAAGTGTTTACTTGGTGCTTACCATGTATACTGTTCCAATCACTTACAGATAAAAAGTTTTTAATACTCCTAACACTGCATGGTTCAAAATCAATAAAGGAATGCATCAAGAATATATCCTTTCTTCATACCTTTTCAATCTATATGCAAAACAGATCATTTGGGAGGCTGGATTTTATGAGGAGGATTAGAGACCCATCTACAACCTGCATCATGCAGATGACACAACCTTGCTTGCCAATACTGAGGAAGACTTGAAACGTTTGCTGCAGAAGGCCAAAGACTATAATCTTCAGTATGAAATGCATCTCAACATCGAGAGAGCAAAGATTCTCACCACTGGGCCAACTGGCAGCATCATGGTAGATAGAGAAGAGGTTGAGGTTAACAATTTCATCTTGCTTAGATCTACATCAACACTCTTGGTACCAGTAGTCAGGAAATCAAAAGACGAATTGCTTTAGGAAAAGTCTGTTGTCAGGGACCTCTGCAGAGTGCTGAAGAGCAGTGATGTCAATCTAGAGAATAAGGTGCTCCTGATCCAGGCAATGGTCTTTTCATTGGCTTGCTATGCATCTGAGAGCTGGACAGTGATTAAGGATTACAGAACAATAATTGATGCTGGAGAACAATATTGAACATTCCATGGGCTGCCAAGAGAACAAACAGGTCTGTCCTTGAGAGGGTGAAATCAGGTTGTTCCTTGGAAGCAAAGATTTCGAGTCTCTGTCTCACATACTTTGAGCATGTTGCCAGGAGGGACCAATTCTTGAGAAGGACATCATGCTTGGAAGAGTGGAGGATCAGTGCAGGAGAGGAAGACCCTAGATGAGATGGATTAATATAGTGACTGGGGCAACGGAGATGAGTATGTTGGAGATAGTGAGGTTGGCTCAGGATAGGACAGAATTCACATCTATTGTTCATAGGGTCACTGTGAATCATGGTCAACTTGAGGGCACATAATGACAAGGAGGTATTACTACCATTACTATTTTACATTATGAGAACTGAGGATAAAGAATAACTTGCTTAGTATCACATGGCCTAGTGGTAAGAAGCTGAACTTCAACTTCAAAGGCATGTGATTCAAATCCACTAGCTGCTCTGCAGGAGAAGGTTGGACAGTAGCCTGCAGATTTACTGCCTCAGAAAAACCTGCTGGCTAGGTATGAGTCAGTTCCGACTTGACAGCAACCACCACCACCACCACCACCACCAAGATGGTTAGTATTAGTGTTCTAGTTTATTTACAGAATTCTAATATATTGTTTTTCAGACCAGATTCTTTGAATTTCCTTCACCCTGACCCCATGCATCAAATTGTACAGACCCATGATTAATCCCCCACTTAGATCCTCATTCCTCTGCTTCCACCCTCTTCCCCTCCCTCTTGGATCCTCATACTTATTCTGCAATAACGATTTTATACAATATTTGTTCTTGTGCGCTGAGTTAGTTCACTCAGTATAATGCTCTCCAGTCCCTCCCAAGTTAGGTAGTAATTTACAAAATCATTGCTCCTGCGAGCTGTGTATTATGTATTATTGTATGAATGTACCATAATTTCTCAATCCATTCAATTGTGGTTGGACATTTGGGCTTTTTATAAACATTGGTGTGCAAGTCTCCCGTTTGTACCTCAGTTCTCATTTTCTTGGGATATATTCCAAGCAGTGGAATAGCTGGGATCATATGGAATTTCTACAACGTGGCATTTTTTAAAGCTTATCTTTGTTTCCTAATTTATATAATAACTTTGATTTCCAAGTTTGCCACTTTATTGTTGTTGTTGTTATGTGCCATCGAGTCACTTGGCGACTCATAGTAACCCTATGTACAAGAGCCCTAAACGCCATTCTATCCTGTGCCAACCTCGCCATCTCAAACACACTCATTCTCATCACTCCACTCACAGAATCAATCCATCTCGTCAAGGGTCTTCCTCTCCTACCCCCTCCACTTTCCCAAACATGATGTCCCTCTCCAAGGACCAGTCCCTCCTTGCAACATGTCCAGAGTATGTCAGACGAAGCTTCAGAATCCTTGACTCCAAGGAGCATTCTGGCTTCACCCTCTCCAGGACAAACCTGTTTGTTCTCCTAGCAGTCCATGGTATATTCAACACTCATCTCAAAGGCATCAATTCTCTTTCTATTATCCCTCTTCACAGTCAACTCTCCGATGTATAGCATGTAATTGCGAAGACTATAGCCTGGGTCAGGCGCACCTTAGTCTCCAGCCTGACGTCATTGCTCTTCAATACTCTTGAGAGTTCCCTCACAGCAATTTGTCTCCTGTTTTCCTGGCTGCTGTTACCAAGAGTGTTGACTGTGGAACCAAGTAAACTAAAACTGTTAACTATCTCAATCTCTTCACCATCCATACTGATGCTGCCAATTGGCCCAGTGGTGAGAATCTTTGTTTTCTTGATGTTGAGCTTCAATTCATATTGAAGATTGCAGTCCTTGACCTTCTGCAGCAAGTGCTTCAGGTCCTCCTCAGTTTCAGCAAGTAGGGTTGTGTCATCCACATAACGCAGGTTGTTGATGATTCTTCCACCAATCCTGATGCCACATTCCTTCTCGTACAGCCCAGTGTCTCAGATGATCTGTTCTGCATACAGATTGAAAAGGTATGGAGACAAAATACATCCCTGACAGACACCCTTCTTGATTTTGAACCATGCAGTGTCTCCTTGTTCTGACGACTGCCTTATGGTCCAAGTATAGGTTTCACATTAGCACAGTCAGATGATCTGGGATTTCCATTCTTCTCAGAGTCAGCCACAGCTTGTTGTGATCCACACAGTCAAAAGCCTTTGCATAGTCAATGAAGCACAGATAGACATTCTTCTGGTATTCTCTGCTTTCTGCCAAGATCCATCTAACATTTGCTATAATATCCCTAGTACCACGACCTCTTCTAAATCCAGCCTGCACATCTGGCAGTTCTCTGTTGACATATTGTTCCAAATGTTTTTGGATAATTTTCATCAGAATTTTGCTTGCATCTAATATTAATGATATTGTTCGATAATTTCCACACTCTGTTGGGTCACCTTTCTTTGGAATGGGAACAAATACCAATCTTTTCCAGTCAGTTGGCCAGCTGGCTGTCCTCCAGATTTCTTGGCACACCTTAGTGAGCACATCCAGGGCAGCATCTGTTTGTTGAAATAAATCAATTGGTATGCCATCAACTCCTGGAACCTTGTTTTTTGCCAATTCCTTCAGAGCAACTTGAACTTCCTCCTTCATCACCATAGGCTCTCGCTCATATGTTATTTCATGTAATTCCTCTGTGCCTTCTGATACAGTGACTCTGTGTACTCCTTCTATCTTCTTTTGATACTTCCTGGATCATTTAACATTCCATCCAAACTGTCCTTAAGTATTGCCACCCATGTCTTGAATTTGTTTTTCAACTCCTTCAACTTAAGAAGCGCTGAGTGAGTTTGGCCCTTTTGATTTTCTGACTCCAGCTCTCTGCACATTTCATTATAGTATCTTGCTTTGTCGTCCCGAGCTGTCTTTTGAAATTTTCTGTTCAGCTCTTTGATTTCTTGGTTTCTTCCCTTAGCTTTGGCTTCTTGGTGCTCTAATGCAATACTCAGAGTCTCATCTGACATCCATCTTGGTCTTGTCTTCTTTTTCAGCCTTTGTAATGATCTTTTGCATTCTTCATGGACGATTTTCTTGAAATTCTCCCAGAAAATAGGAAGGAGTATATGACAGCTTATGGTATTCTTTGTCCTGTGCCAAATAAATCCAGAGGTTTGGGGATTTATTTTTTTGCATGTAATACTGTAAGTCTACTACTTTAGCTACATAGAAATTTCACCCCTGGATGGTTTTTTGTTTGCTTGCTTTCAGTGTCTGGTATACAAAGGTGAAAATTTTACAAATAATGATGTGCTCAGTATTTTCAGATTTTAGAATTATTAAGTGTGGTAAACAGATTTGGTTTAGCTTCCCATATCTGTGGGAAGGAACTTTGAAGTATAATATATCCAGACATTAACACTATATTATCTGTCTTGTCCCAACAAGTTAGTAGTAATTCTTAGGTTGTGAATAGATGATAATGACAATTCTGAGTTGCTTAAATTGGAGGTTTCATTTCTTCTGTTGTCAGTGTAACTGTTCTGACTTTATCAATATCTCAATGGGACAGAATTAAGGTTACAATTAAAAATAAGACAGAAATTAAGACAGTAGATGAATAAATTAAGTTTATTTCTGATTCTAGAATTTTCTCCAGATGTTTTTAAATTCTGGGTTTTCTGTTTACCGAAATGACTAAAAGTGGTGGTTGGGGTGGGGGAGGGGGAATTGTATCTATAAATGCAGAAAAGTTAAATATAAGTCTTAAATATGTATAATAATGCCAGAAAATGAATTTTTCTGTTTATTTGCAGCTCGGATCGACTGATAGAAGAAACTATAAGGTAGGAATCATTTTTACTTTCTGTTGTTTACACATAAATTCAGTGAACCAGTTAAGGTTACCCTTAATTAAGGGGGCTTTGGTGGTGTGGTCCATAGGGTCCATATTACTACTAACTAAAAAGTCAAGAGTTTACAGTGGTTTGAATCTACCAGCAGCTCCATGGTGGATGGTCTCCAGTTGCTGTTTGCAACCCCAGAAGCCCAGTGGAGCATCACTGTGAGTTAGATAGCTGTCAGTGTGAAAGAGTAGCTGGGCTTAAATATCTGTTTCTAGTTAACTCAGTGTTTGCAGCCTGAACCAACAATATATCTCCACCTTTTTTTAAATGGTAAGCACTGTTAAGTATTTGATTTGGTAAGTATCTTAGGACATTTATGTGCACTTGGTTTCTGTCACAGCAGGTGTACAAAATCCACTAGGGTTACATTTAGTGTTATCTATAAGAATAATGAAATAGTTCATCAGAGGGAGCTCTTGGTGGCTTAGTGATCAGGAATCAGCGCTGCCAACCCAGTGGTGGTGGCTGTGGTTGATTGCCATCAAGTTGAGCATGACTCATAGCGACCCTATGGACAAAAGACCTGAAGCCTTTCTATAACTATCGTCGTTTCTCAAAGTTCATGGTTTCCAGAGTCATGTTGTTTAGGAAGTGGATGCCACTCCTGCTTCCAGATGGTAAGTGGTTCAAATCCACCAGCTGCTCCAGAGAGAAAATTGGGCCGTCTCCTCCTCTGGGATTTACTGGCTCTGCAAATTTGCTGGAAGGTCAGCAGTGAAATTGCGCCAACTCCGGGGTACTCAACAAGAAGTTTAGTTGTAATGTGTCATGGAGTCAAGCACAGCTCATAGCAACCCTACGAACAACAGATCTGAACCCTGTCCTCTCTTGTGCCATCCTCATCATCTCTGACATACTTGAGCCCATCGCTGCAGTCACTGTGTCAGCCCATCTTGTTGAGGGTCTTTCTTAGGATCTTTTGTTGGCTTGAACTCCTTCATTCTCTTGGGTTAATAAATTTTTAAATACCTACTTTATAGCACCTACCCCTATTACCCTAGTCATTGAATCAGTTCATCTCATCTTGAGGGTCTTCCTCTCCTGCGCTGTCCCTCCACACTCAGAGACAGTGAGATTGGCACAGGATAGATCAGGGTTTAGGGCTGTTGTACATAGGGTTGCTATGAGTCCCAGGCAACGCGATGGCACGTAACAACAACTTTATAGCAGCAAAAAAGTCAGTTAAATTCTGTGCTGTAGAATTCATTGATATGTACTGCTTTGTTTTTCAGGAAAGATAAAATGGAGTACATGGAGACAGTTTAGTGAACAGTTACACATATGTGTTCTTAATATGGGCCTCTAGACTGTGCTGAAGTACTTCACGTGCTTTGGTTTACTTAAGTCTTCTCAGCAGTCTAGGAAATTGGCACTAATTATTAATCCTGTCTTCAAAAAAGAAATTGATTTGCTCAGAATGACATGACTAATTAGTGTTGCTTTATATTCTTAAATCCAAAGCTGGCTAACAAGAACCAGAGCCTTGTCTAAACCATTAATGTTTGCCACCTGGTGGGAGGAATATAGGCTTCGCGGTTTGAAAGCAGACAGTACTTCTTAGTAGATCTCTGTTCTTGTATAAGTTGCTTTAACCTTTGGAGCCTTCATTTTCTTATCTATTAGAAACCATGGAAGTGGTTATAATACCCTGTAAGGTAGCTATAAAGATAAGGTAAAACATCTCGCTGATAATAGGTAATCTGAAAATGCTAATTTTTTTGTTTGTGGGTTTTTTCTTGTTAAATAACAATTTCAGATTTCAGAAAAGTTGTAAAGAATTCTCATGTCTTTTATCCAACTTCTGCAAATGTTTACATTTGCTTTTTCAGGTTTGTTTTTTTTTAAGTGAATTGCCGGCATGATATCCTTTTACCTCTAAATATTTCAGTATTCATTTCCTAAATATCTATTTATATCCGTATGGACTGATGGATTCTTATTTTATTTATAATGCATTCCTATCATTTATTTAATCATCTGAGGACATAATCTTTTCTGATAATAATCATGTATTGGAATTTTGTTTACATTTGTTGTACTGCCTCTTCCATCTGAACTGGGTTCACAGAATTACCTGCTTGTTGACAGAGATGACTCCCTGGTGATCTGCTTCATTTTCATCAGTACATGAAGCCTGGGATTTTTCATCAGTACAAGTTGCCAGGGATTTTTCACTGAAAGCTTCCTTTTAAACCTTTTGCTTGCTTCCTTGCTTCCATTTATTTCCCTCACCTTTTTTGGTATGCTCCTGTAGGGCCAGACTTTCTCAGTTAAGCTTTTTAGTTCAGCTCTGACCTATTTAAGGGCTGATAATGAAGGCATAATATATAACCTTTGAGACCAGTTAGGACAGTTCTCGTCTGCTCTGTAGGGTCACTGTGAATCAAAAACCAACAGCAGTGAGGTTTTTTGTGCAACACTCTGATTAATCCCCCATCCTCACCCCTCTGCTTTCACCCTCCCCCCTTGCATCCTCCTACTCATTCTACAGTAATGGTTTTATACAGTATCTCATTGTGGTTGTTTTGCTTTGAATCCAGAGACTTTGAGCATTTCTTCATGAGTATGTTGGCCATTCGAATATCTTCTTCTGTGAAAATGAGGATCCAAGAGAGTGAGGGTGGGCATGAGGAGGGGTTTAATCACATGACTTGGTGGGGTAGGGAGTGTGAAGGAAATGGGAAAGATCCAGTGTGAAAAACAATGTATTCGAACTTTATAAATAAACCAGTATAATACAAACAAAAATTTTTTAAAATATTTTTGTTGTTTATTTAATAATGTGTTTAAATGTTTGGAGTCTCTTATAGGGTAGGAAAATTGAGGACCATTAAGTCATTGCTGCTGTTTTGCTGCTTAAGAAGTGAAATAGAATATGAATACCTTTTATTTCAGCAGTTGCCTTTCAGCAATTGCCTTTGTTTTCAACTTAAATTTCATTGAATATAAAGCTAGTTGATTATTTACATAAACAAATATAAAAGTTAAGTATCAAATAATTTCTTTTTTTATATATTCAGTATGTAAAAAATTGTACTTTTGGAGCATTTTATAATTATTTATATAGCTGAGTTTAGACTTTGGTGTTGATTTATTGGCTGTGACTTAATACTTTTAGTGAATAAAGCTCTACATGTGTAACTAGTTTTACAAAATAAGTGAGTTCAAGCCATAGAGAATAGGTAAGAAAGTTGATGTTCCAGTAAGCACATAAATGATTTATCATTTTAAAAGCATTGTATATTCTTTGGAGCTTATGTTTTGGCTCTTAGTATTTGATCCTTGAAATAACAACAGCCTAGTTTGACTCAGCTTGACTCCAGATGATGGAATGAGATGGGAAAGTATGTCTAGATATACTTTATGTGGTACTGGAAATCATGCATATTCAACAAGGTAATAACATAATGTATGATGATAATATCCACTCTCCAAGGGCTACAAAGTGCTTTACAGAAATGATTTTTTAATCTTTATCCACTTGTGAATCAGAGTGTGCAGGCAATGGTGATAGGCTCAGTTTAAAAAAACAGAATATATGATTTCAAGACGGGCCTCAGATTTCTCAGCCTGGGTTTAGAATATATTACCCTATGTCTGACTATTCAGCTTATTTTAAAATATAAGTTATTTAAAATACCTTGTAAGGTGAATTTTTTTGTTGTTGTTATGTGCCATCGAGTCATTTGCGACTCATAGCGACCCTATGTACAACAGCCCTAAACCCTGCTCTATCCTGTGCCAATCTCATTGCCTCTGACACACCCATCCTGATTACCCCAGTCACTGGATCAATCCTCCTCATAGAGGGTCTTCCCCTCCTGCGCTGTCCCTCTACTCTACCCAGCATGATGTCCCTCTCTAAGGACCTGTCTCTCCTTACAACATGTCCAAAGTATGTCAGACGAAGCCCCAGAATCCTTGCCTCCAAGGAGCAGCCTGGTTTAATCCTCTCTACGATGAGTCTTTTTGTTTTCTTGGCAGTCCATGGTACATTCCATACTCTTCTGCAGCACCACAGCTCAAAGGCGTCAATTCTCCTTCTATCCTCCCTAGTCATTGTCCAACTCTCTGATGCATAACAAGTGATTGCAAAAACCATTTCTATTTTTTTTAAAGAAGTGTTCTTAGGTCTTAGCGATAAATGTTGATATATTTGTGCTTGAAATCATTTGGTATTTGCTTCACTATAATCTGGAATTGGAAGTACTTGAATAATCTTTGAAACTTCTGCACATGTTTTAAGCAGTTCTAGGTATTATGATGTCCTACATCACAGATACTATTATTAAGTCCACTTTACATAAAATGTTAACATTTTCATAAAATAAGTATATTATAAAACTGCATCTAGAATATGTTCTGTCATAAATTTTTATGCATGTTATCCATACTTACTTGCATTAAAGATTAAAAGAAAATAAAAACAGCAAGCACATTTTAAATGTACCAAGTTATATCTTGGATACACACCTAAACAGAAAAATTACAAATAAAAACTTGATGACACAAACATACTTACTGTTTTTTTAATCTAAAATTCAATTTATTGTGAAGTAGACGTTGCTAATGTAACATCAGATTTCTTGAGTAAAGAATCTTTTTTGTTTTATCAATGTATTATGCCTTTATAACAAAGATTTGTAGTCCATGTCGCTCCCTCCTCAGTCTTGGTTCCATTTTCCAGAAGCAGACATTAGTTTGTTCACCTAATGTTTATTGTCAACAGTGTGCCTAGAACAGGAGATAACAATAACCATGATAAATAAAGAGCTGGCTGTCATGCAGCATGCATGCTTATGACACGCCGACAGTCCTCCATGACAGACTCTTACACTGTCAGTCCAGTCCGTCAGATTCAGTCTTCAAAATACACCCAGAATCTTTCTACTTTTACCTACGTCCAGGTTTGAAACTTGCCTGCGCTGCTTAACAGGTCTGGTTTTTTGTTAAAAAAAAATTATACTAACTTCTTGGAGGTGTCATAGTTTTACGATTTGAGATATAGGATTGTGTATCTATTGTTGTTATTGTTTACCATCAAGTCAGAACTGACCCATAGTTGACCCTCCAGCGGCTTTTCATAGACAGTAGATCACACACAAAGAGAATGTCCAACCTTCTCCCTTGGTGCAGGTGGTGGGTTTGAACCACATGCCTTTGGGATTGCAGCATAGTTAGAATACAGAATTGTGCAGATTAAAGATAATGTGAATGGCATGTCTAGTACAGTGCCTGTCTTATAGTAGGTGATCTGTAATGTTGCATCTCTGCTGAGTCACCTGGGTTTTTCATTCCTTTGTTCAGATGTCATTTTCTCAAGGAGGCCTTGGATGCCAATCTGTTTAAAAGCACAGCTTCTAAAAAAAAATAAAAATAAATTTAAAAAATTTTTTTAAAAAGGCACAGCATCCTGACCATCCATGATTCCTTTTCCTTAGTAATTGCTGTTTTACTTCATAGTGCCTACCACCACCTACTGCACTAATATATGTTACTTGTTTATGGCTTATTTCCCTCACTATGGTGCAGACTCTGTAAGGTTTGCTCTTGTTCTTGTTGACTGTCTTGATCCCAGTGTCTAGAACGGACCTGCCATATGATGGGTTCTCAGTAAATGCTTATTTGAGGTTTCTGTCTTGATATTTTTTATTGTGTGTGGCTTTAATGAAAGTTTACAGAAAAGTTGGATTTTCATTCATTTATTGTTGGACATTTTCCTCCTTTCCCCTCCCCAGTTCACTTTTAAAAAATACATTGTTGCATCATTTCCTCCCTTCCCCACCCCTGTTCCCAGTAAATGATTGTTGAGTGAATGAATGAGTAATAAAATCAGATAATGGTAACTGCTGTAATATTTTCAATTCTTTTAGCCCTCTTGGTATATATCTCCATATGTCTCAGAGGCATCCTATAGACTGCTGTTTCTTTGTTTTTAAATTCCTGGGCTGGGGACAGTTGGAAAGGTTGAGGGTTGTAATTTAGAATTCTAGCAATTCTGCCTATAAATTCCACTAATCTCCTTATTGTACAGTTATTTTCATAGGTTCTGCTTTAAAAGCCCAGTTCTTAAGCTTTTTTGGGGTCTTGAGAAAATTTAGAAATTGTTACTTGGCTCATCACTGATTTCCATTGAGTCAGAGACAACCCATAACTGATCCTCCTGCATGTTTTCAGAGGCAGTAAATCGCACGGGAGGAGATTACCCACCTTTCCCCTGGGGAGCAGCTGGTAGATTTGAAGCCACCAGAGCTCCCTACTTCTTTATTATTTTATATTTTAAAAAGACAATGATTCCTATCCCTTGAAGCAATTTAACAGGTGTGTCTTTCTGATATCTTTCTCATTGTCCATTCAAACACAATAGTGTTTTGTTTTTGTAAAAGAGATGCAGATGCATATACCTCATATCTTAGGGCTTTCTTTTTCACTTGATATAAACATCATCTGAATAAAAGAAATATTCTTTCTAATAATCAAATATTTCATAGTGTAATTATACTATATTAAACCATTCCAGGTTTGGTGTGTGTGTGTGTGTGTGCATATATATATTTTTTTATTTATTTTCTTTTAGTTTTTTGGGGGGGAGTGTTTCATTTTCTTTCTTACTATTCTGTACAGTGTTACAGTAAATATCCATTGATCTGTCTCCTTACACACGTTTGTTTGTTCTCTCCTTCTCAAGTCTTGAAATTTCACATTTGCCTGGAATGATCCCTTCAGTAGTTTCTTCCAGTAAGAGACATAGTAGTGTATTCTGTCTGAGACAAAAACATATTCCCTTAGCTTTGTGGTTTTGAGACTTTTGCGCAGTGATGGATCAGCTGATAGACAGCCCAGGACACTCTCCTCATAGGGACTTGCCATCACACCAGCTCGCACATTATTAGCTCTCTGCTCATAGGTCTCACTGGCTCTGAATAATTATCTCCTCCAGCTGCAGAAACTGGGAGCCATTCATATCATCGCTACATTCTCTGTACATGCAGGTCCATAGTCTTCTGTATTGAGTCCTCTGTAATCAGTAAAACCAGAGGGAACTTGGAGCTTCAAGTCTTGTATTGTTCCATGGTGGAAAATGGCGCAGTGATGAGGTCAGCAATCTCCTCTGACCAAGACCTTCCCAGAATGTCCTCATCTCTCTTGGCCTTTTCCTTTGCAGTGTTTCCAGACTGACTGAGTAGTCTTTATTCCCCTATTGCTTTTTTTAAATCTCAATATCTAAAGCACACCATTGATCTTATATATCAAATGGAATACCTACCTGCCTGCTGGAATTTTTATGTCTACGTGAAACCTATGGAAAAGTACTGACTTTAGTGATAACGTAAATTATCCCAGGTTCTTTTAAGATCCCAGTACTCATCACTGTACTAATGAGTAGAAGATTGTATTCCGCATGGTGATTTCTTCCCTTCTCTCAGTCATGTTTAATGATCTGCACCGTCCGTCAGCTGGCTTAGAAAGTCAGCATAATCTTGCATGCATGTTCCAGATTTTGGCTAATTGCTTGTCATACTGAATTTCAGAATGGTGGGGATCTTTTCTCATAAATTGAGGGCTGCTTTTTCCCCCACTTTTGGTTCTGCCTGTTGACAATATTTCCTAAGTTTATTTTAGTAGCTCACTCCTTTTAAAACTTTTTAGAAGCTTTGGTTATAGGTGCTTTGTCTGTTAGTGTGATATTTCATTTGTTGTTTTGTAAACAGCACTAGGAACTGAATTACTGTGTTGTACAAAAAGACACCACATTACAACAGTGGTCCTTCAGGATCAGTAGGGACAGGGACTTGAGAAGTGGAAATTAAAAAAAAAAATAGAATATTTTTCTGCCCAATCTTTTTCAAAATGAAATTGTTTGTCTTAGTTGTCTTGACTGCCTGGTGGATTCATGCAGGATAATCTTAAATGCCATTTTAATAATCTTCATTTCTCCCTTTGCAGTATTGCTATGGCAACAAAAGAAAATATGACTTCACAGAGAGGAATGTTGAAGTCAATTCAAAGCAAAATGAACACCTTGGCCAGTATCCTTTAAGAAGGTTTGAAATTTGTATGGTTTTGCTCTTTTGTTGTTTTTTTTAGGGTTTAATTTAAGGTGGGTAAGGAAATCTGCCTTTTCTCAGAGCGTTACAATCATCTTGAGGCCATCAATAATTACATAATTTGAATATCACTTGTAGTTTTTAACAGTAAATTTGTTTAGAATAATTTCTAAAAGTTTGCATACTGGAGGTATAGTATTGTGTTACAGAATAGTTGATTTAGAAAATTTTGCAGATGTGACTTTGAAAATTATTCACATACTATTCTGCATGTAGAAAACTTTTAAAGTCATGTCAGGACTCTAAGGCATACATTATTTTTAAACAGGCATAAATTATTTGCTTTATCTTCCCTTCCCCCTCCCGCTCCTAGTGATAGGTTCGTAGAAGAGGAAAGAAGACAGCCATCTAAGAAGGGTTATCACTGCTGATAAGAATATTTTCAGCATAACTTGCTATGCACAAGCTGAATTCTTTAATACATTCTCCCTTATTTACTGTGACCTCTACCTTTAGTCTGTGAGGAGTTGTGCGGCTAACCCAAAGACCTCACTATTGGTTCAAATCCACAACTGCTTCTTGGAAGAAAGAAGGACAGTCCCCTTCTATGTAATTTACAGACCCAAAAACCCTAGAGAGTGTCAGCTAGGAGTCAGTTAGACTCAATGATGGTGGGTTTTGAGTGAGCCTGCCTTTTTAATTCCTCTGTTTCCCAATGTAAGATACTTCTAGGGAAGCTGATAAGCCTGTCTTGCAACATTTTGTTGGTTTTCGTAGAAGTCAAGCCTTTTACGGGGAAAAACTTCCTTCCTCAAGTAATTAAGGGAAAAGGACCTCTAATTTTCACAAGTTGAGTATCTTCGGGTCCTATTTAAAAGTCACTTTTTATTTTCCATCTTTTTTTATGGAAAAGGATATCCTGAAGTTGTTGATCTTACCAATTTTCTGTGATAATTGTTTTGTCATCCTAAATATGAAACTGCACTTCAAGACATACTATACAGTTTACAGAGTATGTCTGTGGCCATTATCTAAGGTATCACTGCTAATAGGGAAGAAATATAGGAATTATTATTCCACAAAAGAAGAATTGAGTTCAGAAACGTAGCTTCCCTTGGGTTCCATAGCAAGTAAATAGTGCATTTTAGCTCCTCATTATTTTTTACATGAAGTCTTGCTGTGTTTCTTAAGTGTAATGACTTGGTTACCAGCAAGAGCAGAAACTACCTCTTGTTGCTTTGTGTTGTCTGTAAAGTCAGTTTGAACTCCGAGCAACCTTGTAGGACAAGGACTAGTAGAACCCCACAGGGTTTCCAAAGCTTTACTCTTTACCGAACAAGACTCCTGCATCTTTTCTGCTGCCAAGCAGCTAATGGTTCTAAACCACCAATCTTTCCATTACCAGCCAAGCATTTAACCATAAGGGCTCCTTAGAAGCTAGCTGTTTGCCACTGAGTCTGAACCCACTCACAGCTGACCCTCCAGCAGTTTTCAGAGGCAATAGATCACACAGGAGGAGACTGCAGAGCCTTCTCCTGAGGAGCAGCTGGTGGAGTTGAACCATTTGTCTTTGGGTTGGCAATTCTTTATCCACTGGTTGACTTAGTCATTATAAAGGAATTTTTATCTAGCCAAAACTTTTAACACTTTGAAAAGAGGGAGAGAAATTGACAACTGGATTATTTAGAACACTGAAGCCTTTTCCAGCTGTTTGTTAGAGTTTGTCACCTCTCCTCTTTGTGTCCTCTGCTTTGTTCATCTTTCTACCAAGATGCCTTGAACTCCTTATCATATTTCTCTGGTCAAGTCAGTCTTTCCTACCAAACCCTTACTTCTCTTGGAGTGCAGCAAAGTTTTTTTTTAAAAAGCCCCTAAAACTAAGAATTTTCTATCTTTTTTCTTTTATATTCTTTTCATTTTTTTTCTGCTTTTTCCGTTATGCTATATATTCATTTAACCCATTTTCCTACCATGTTCTACCTAATGACTTCAAGGCGAAATAAAAATTTGTAATAATTCACCAGTGGCCAATTATATAGACCCAAGTTAGTTCCCACCTACTGCTTGAGTCCAGGCAAATCTCCCTGTGGACAAAGGGTCAGGTACATCTTCAAAACCCATTAGGCAGAGCTCCCTAGTCTCCTGGGGAGAAGGTAAAAAAGACAGAAGAATGGAGGCGGGAGGAATATGTGCAACAGTGAAGAAACAAAAATCCAACTTTTCTGTAAACTTTTGTTAAAATCACAATTAGAATAATTAAAAAAAAAAAAAAAGTCACAGGAAGAGGGCCAGAGATGGCGTAGAGCAGTGATGGACTGGCTGCTGAAGCCTGGTTTTGAACAGCCGATTGATGGTAGCTGGTATCTCTCTTCTTTTTATTCTTCCTCTGTCATAATTCTTTTCATTTATTCTTATTTGTGTGCCATGCTGTAATGTATTGGGATACTGGGTCCTAGGCAAGCCATTAGATCTTTGCTGAAACTCACGCAGTGTGATTGGCTTCCTATCTATTTCTTAACATTTTCTGTTTCTGGACTCCTCTGATCTCTGATTTCTGTAACTTCTATCCAAAGAGACACCTTCCAAATATGACCTTAATAAAGATTTCCTAAAGATCGTTTTCCTGCTGTGAACAGCCTGATCCAACGGATCAACCTTAGGAAGCGGCGGGACTCACTCATCCTAGGTGGTGTGATTGGCGTGTGTACCATCCTGTTGCTGCTGTATGCTTTCCATTGATGGCACACCTCCAGGACTCTTGGCAGCCACTGATTTCATGCCCTTGTCTGGAATAAGCAAAAACCGGAGGGAGAAGTTGCCCGTCTTGTTAGTCAGTCTGACTAGCAGTGTTCATTCAAGACTGAGACTGATGGACTCTGACATGGTCTAGCTGAGATAAAGCCACAGTTTTCCTAATAGTCTTTTCTAACACACATTTCCCCATTTTCAGTTTTAAGAAAAAAAATTTTTTTCCCCCAGTTCCCTTCTGCCTTCCCAGGAGATAAGTAAACCAATCAGAAATTGTTTCTGTGCCTCCAGGATAGTTGAATGAAAGCCTGATTGATGACACACTAATCTTACAGCAAGGTTCTTCAGAACACCAGGTTTCACTACATTCAGAGGCTGCTTTTCTTTCAGCCACCAGCTTGAGTTATAAATAAAAATAGTTCTTGTGGATTTTACGCTCATGACAAGAAATCACTCAGCAGTTCTTGATAACCTATACTGTAAATTTCTACTTTATGTCCACAGTTCTTTTACTATTCAAGGAAAACTCTGTTCTTCATAAATTCTTAGAGATACCAACAAGCCAACTTCAGCATGGTGGGAGTTATAAGTCAATGGAGGGCAGACCTGCAAAAAAAGCTGTGGTTTTTTTTATTATTTTTTTTTTATTGTGAACAAACTGGGACTAATTGTATCGCTCGCAAAAATGTCAAGAATGACAGACTTTTTGCCGGTCATTGTTTTGATTTTTTGTTTTCTGCCATTCATTTACTCTTTATTAGTGCAAGAAAAAGAAGTCTCAGTTCTGCCCTGACAAAAACTAATAACCAGTATCCCTCAATTCCCAAAACTATACTTTGTTGAGTCAGGATTAACACTGATGCTGAGCTGAGGAGACTGCAGTTTTCCATGATATCTGTTTCCAAAAGCCACATGTGAAAACACATTGAGAAATCACCTTCATCTGATATTGGGAGCTAAGAAGACTCGCACCCAGAGAGAACCTAGATGGGGAAGTTGACATTGGCTTTCTGGGTAACTTCATTTGTAAATGCTCCACAGCTTATGAGCGGAAGGTTAAGTACTACTGCTGGAGGTGATCGGGATTGCTGTGTTCTGTGAAACCTATTCATTCCAAATCTGTGAAACTTCAATACAGCAAAGAATGGTTTTTCTGTGAAAGGCAGGCATAGCCAAATCTGTTTCCACCCACCGGCACCTCACTTCTATTGTCATCTCTGGGCAGTGACAAAATTTTTGAACGAGCTACCAGAATTCAAGTTTAACCGTCTTCTCAGTTTTTTGGAAGTTCATTGCCTCCCTTGTCTAACTGAACCACCACAGATGTTTGAAGACTTTCACCACCTACCCGCATCACCAAGAAAGACTATTCTTCATAGTGGTGTTTATAGGCTTCAGACTGCCGAAAGGAATAAGAGGACCTTTGCATGTAATTCTTCCCAACATCATGGTATGTGGATGGGTGAACTAACACGCAGCGTGAGATAGAGCTCACAGAGGGTGTTCCTTCTGTGTCAACATTCTAGGTATGAAAGGTCTTTGATATATTATTTTTTAATTATGGGATTTATTTTTCTAAATATGGGTTGATCAGTTAGTTAATTGGGGATCCCCTTTAAAAAAAGATAAATTTTCCCAATGTGAATCTTACATGGTCAGAGAAGTATGTTCACTTATTAAATTCTCTATTGAGAGAACAAAATTTCTCTCCCCTGATAATGTTATTATCTTTGATTTTTTTCAAAGGGCCTTGATTGGTGGTTATGCCGCAGCTAAGATTTACTGGGCTTTGGGTTGCTATATAGTAGGATTTATAAAGTCTACAGTATCATAAATAAAGTTATTTATTTAATTATACAACCAGTCTTTTTACTGGTCTGATTATTTGATACACTCATTAAAGCTGATTGTATGAGAATCAAATTAGTACATAAGCTACTCTAGCTTGCTAGCACTAAGCAGACAATTTCAGTGGCTGATTAGCCTTTCCATTAGGGTCACGCTTATATGAAGTAATAGAACTGTGTTGGTTATTTTCTTTATGAAAATAAGGAGACCAATTCTTCCAAGGAAGTTGAAAAAGCTTGGTGTAGATGTTGGTGTCAGACAGTCTGACTGACCTCCCAGTGCTGTATCCTGTAATGAGGTGATCCAGGGCCAAAGTAGATAGATAGTATTCTTCATTCCCTCTTACTGTTCCTTTGTGCAAAGGCATGCTATAGAGTGAGGAAATGCATGCACACCATTTACAGAAGGGGCTCAGTGCATCCATCATAGCTGATTGAACATTAAATTTCATGCCATTCAACTTGGTTTCCCCCCTTATTTTCAATCCTTATAGACTGGTTTGTAGGTTCAGGAGCCAGTAGTAAGTTACTTGTTAATATAGTCAGAAATGACAAAGATTTTCTACTCTTGGTTCCAAATAAATGTTGCTTCTTAAAGGAAGTTCTTGTCCTGCAAGCCATTGTATTAATATAATTAATCTTTTCTTTTTGGATCTTAGAAGTCACTTAGAACGCTCCCATATTATGGGACAATAGAAAAACCAAAAAAGAAAATTCCATAAGGTATATTTTTGCTGTTTTGTTTTAATGTGTGCAAATGACGTTAGTAAAATGTTTAATACATATCTCACACACATTCAAGGCTAGATACTCAGGTGCTTAGTTCATTCATCTCCCAATCTATCTACTTTCCCCCCTCATTATTAATGATGTTGAAGAACTCCTGTAACTAGCTAGCATTTGCGCGCTCTTATTTTTGTAATGCTAGAAAAGGGCTTTCCTTGCTCCACCATTCCTCTCTCACACCAAAACTCACTGTCACAGGGAATGCCTATTTCATTCTGCGTGGTACTGAGATCAGACATGGCCATGAACCCTAAGAATTGAGACACATGATGAAAGGTGAACCCATGGGAAAGCCTTTTTATACCTAAGACTAGATGATATATAGATTGTTTAAACTGGCTATTGAATACATCTGGAGAGAAAAATGTACTTGGTAAACCTTTTGATGCAAATCAGTGGTTTGGCTTCTAAGGAATCGAGGCACCTGCATTTGCGTTCCTCCACTGTCTTTCTGTCTCTCTGTTAATGACCTCACCGTGATACAAATTAAAGAACTAGAACTTGCCCTTTTCAGTCTCGTACTTTATGTTCCATTATTAACCAGATGTGATTTCGGGGAATAATTGAGTTTTCTAACTTGAAATATTAAATTCTTGGGAATAAATGGCCACTTCTCATGGATTGTGCTGCATTTTCTTGCAAATGTAATGAAACAACAAATGGGGTTTACCATTTAGAAAATTCTGAGGATCTGTGTTTCATTTTTCCTTTGAGTTAAAAGTTATTTAGCCCTGTTTTCAAAGAGATACTGAACTTTTCATCATGGTCTTAATAAATTTATCTTGTTATTTCTATAAAGAAGGAATAATGGAATTCTAAAGATAAATTTTTTTTCAGATCAGATCCTTTATTGTATGTATTTAATCTTATTATAAAATATTAACAACATTATAAAAGAAAAAGCCAGTTACCCTAAAGATAAATTTTGAGACAAAGCTGAGCCTTGTTTTGGGGGGTGGTTTGTGGTTTTTTTTTTGTACCTAAGATCTCACATGAGTATTGAAGATCTCACTTTTTCATCCATTCCTATCCTGCTCTTAGAGACAAAAATCAGTTCTAGTCACACTTTACCATGATGGGGGATGTCTCCTCATGGAAATTGCCAAGACAGATGTTTCTAATCTATTCTTTTCCAAAGCACTTTCTATTTTTTTTTTCTTTTAAAATAGCTTCTGGAATCAATTTTATTGTATTTGTACTTAATTTTGTTTTCATCTAATGTGCATTTTTCTGACTGTATAGAAGAAGCTTTGTTATGTAATTTAATAATAAATGAAAAATCTAAGTGGTTGTGCCTATCATTGTTTATATTGTTGAAACCATAAGAGTTGAAGCAATTTGGGATTATTGTTGTTCTATGCCGTCAAGTCAACTGCAACTCATAGCACAATAGCTCTGAACCCTACCCTGTCCAAGCCAGTCTCACTCTCCAACACACCTACCCCCATTATCTCAGTCACTGTGTCAATCCATCTTATCCTCTTCTGTGCTGAACCTCTACCTTACCAAGCATGATGTCCTTCTCTAAGGACTGATCCCTCCTGGAAACATGCCCAAAGTATGAGAGATGGAGCTTCAAAAGCCTTGCCTACAAGGAGCAACTTGGTTTCACCCTCTTCAGGGCAGACCTGTTCATTCTCTTGGCAGTTCATGGTATGTTCAATGCTCATTCCCAGCACCACAACTTTATTGTATAGATGATTCTTCTGTCACCCTTAGTCATTGTCCAGCTCTCTAATGTGTAGCAAGTAATTGCCGAAGACTATCACCTGCAGCAGGTGCACCGTAGTCTCTCGCCTGACCTGGTTGTTCTTTAGTACTCTGGAGAGGTCCCTGACAGCAGATTTTCCAAGTGCAGTTCATCTTTTGATTTTACCAAGAATGTTGATTGTGGACCCAAGCAAGTTGAAATTGTTAACAACCTCGGTGTCTATCTATCATGGTGCTGTCACTTGGTTGAGTGGTGAGAATCTTTGTTTTTTGAAGTTGAGCTTCAGTCTATATTGAAGACCCTAGTTCTTGATCTTCTGCAACAAATGCTTCAGGTCCCCTTCTCTTTTCAGCAAGCAAGGTTATATCATCTGCATAACTCAGGTTATTGATGAGTCTTCCTCCAATCCTGATGTCACATTCCTCCTCATAAAGTCCAGCCTCCCAAATGATCTGTTCTTCATATAGATTGAAAAGGTATGGAGACAGGAGGCATCCCTGACACACTTCTTTCCTTATTTTGAAGCATGCAGTGTTTCCTTGCTCTGTTCTGACAACTGCTTCCTGCTCCAAGTATAGGTTTTACATGAAGTTTACAATGAAGTGTTCTGGAATTTCCATTCTTCTCAGTGTCAGCCACAATTTTTTGTGATCCATACAGTCAAATGCTTTTGCATGGTCAATGAAACACAGCTACACATTCCTCTGGTACTCTCTGCTTTCAGCCAGAATCCATCTGGCATTGACCCTGATGCCCCTTGTGCCGTGACTTCTTCTAAACCCAGCTTGCACTTCTGGCAGCTCTCTGTTGATGTACTATTTTTGGATAACATTCAGCGGGA